TGTTCCGAGGTCTCGTGAAAAAGCCGGAGAACAAAGAGGTGCAGGAAGGCACTAATGATGCCAGACCTCCAGGAGAGCCTTGGCCATGGGCAGGTAGCTCCAATCTGTGGTATCAGGTGGCACATTCCTGTCCTGCTCTGCTGGCACAGCTCTGATGAGGCTGTCTGTGGACATTGAGGCCAGAGCCTCTGGACTTCTGTAGTCCAGGAGCATGAAATATTTCAAAAATGAATGGGAAAAAAAAAATTAAAAGTAGCTTAAAAATAGCAGCAACTCTCTAAGTCTCTGTATGTGGTCTACCTTTTGGGGCTGGAATGAGTAGCCTCATGGGCACTTAGGTGGCTGAAAGTCTGTGAGGCCTCATCAAAGCACAGTGTTGTGTTAGAGAGAGCAGCACCTGGGAGTGTTCCTGGATGTGTTTCCTCCCACACTGATCTCCTTGAGTTTATGGCTCTCTGGCTTGTTTATTAAATTTTATTTTTGGGGTTTAAATCATTGTGAAGACTCATTGTTAGAATAAAATGTCCATCTCAGCTTCTACTTACTCAAAACTGATTCAAAAAACCCTCATGTTTTCAACCCTTGATTTCTCTAGAGTTTTAATGCAATAAAGTCCCCTTTTTATTCCCCAAGTGACTACATTCAATGTGGGTCTGGAACCTGAAGTTCCAAAGCCTGCAGGCGGCACCCAAGAGCATGGAATATGACTTCTCCAAGCTTTCTGTGTTCCTTGGCCAGATTCTGGTCTCTTATCACCTTACAAAACTTTTCTGGGTAGCAGAGACAAAGATCTGATCACACATTTTAGTAAAATGAGGCTTTACTGATTTACAGCTGAAAAAAAAGAAAAAATATCTGCTACAGTTCCTTTCATCCCAGAGCTGCTGACTGGATTTTGTTGCTCACTGGTCCATGGAAGGCTTTTTGGGTGCTGGCCTTTGGAGCTGGTATGGTAATAAGGAGTGGCCATAACAACCTGGGGGCTGCAGAGCCTCAGCCCATTGACAGGAGCAGAAATGACTCACAAACACACCAAAGCAAAATGGGCAGCTACAGGGATGCAAGAGTGGCACAGTAAATAGTATATCCTGCCAAAACACTGTCTAAGTGGCCATAAATGGACATCTGAGTTTTGCTAAATAATTGATGTGTCTGTTGTGGTTTTTTTTTTTTTTTTCTTATAGATCTTTCAAGGAATTTAGTTTCTGTTCCTTTGCATTTAGTTTCTGTTCCCTGAAATGTTGCTTTTGAGATTGTCTTCTCAAGCATTTACAGACATGGTCTGTGTCTAAGGCTGATTTCTAATAGCAGTTCCTGTCTGTTATGGTCAGAAAACATCTGGCCCCAGGTGTGTAAGGAGGCAGATAGCTCTCTTTGTTTTCCTGGTGTCATTTGGAAACTGAGGTGCAACCAATCAAAGTGGGATTGCCAAAGGCAATCTATTGGTCTCTATAATAGGCAAGAAAAAGTCTTGTCCTTTGACTAACACAAAGAAAAACATTAATGGAGCTCTAAAAACTACTAAAGTGAGCTGTCTGGATCCTAGGCCTCCAGGGGTTCTAAATAATACTCTTTTGTCCATCTCTACCCATGAAAAAATGTCTGTTCTGTTGTTGTCTGGACTGAGAGTATCAGTGTGTTGCACTGGCTTTGCAGTCTCACTTTGCTGACTCCCACAATGCAGAAATATCGTAGAACCATCGAAAATTTTGGACTGGAAGGGACCTTAAAAATCATCTCATTCCACCCTCCTGGGGCAGGGACACCTTCCACTGTCCTAGGTTGCTCCACGCCCTGTCCAACCTGGCTTTGGACACTTCTTGACCTTGTCCCCACTTGGGACAGCCACAGCTGCTCTGGGCACCCTGTGCCAGAGCCTGATCACCCTCACAGGGAAGAATTTCTTCAAAACACCTAATATAAACCTACTCTCTTTTCATTTAAAAACCATTCCCTTTTGTCCTGTCACTGCAAATACCATATAAACTATAATATCATATAAGTAGTTGGGGGGAGAAATAATTGTAAGAACTAGTCTCCTCTGAATATAAGTTTTTATGTCCTTTTTCAGATTTTCCTTTGTGTCTTTGTGGTTGAACTGACTCCCCCAAAAGGCTGTAATAGGCTTTGTTTCTTGTTTATCACAATACCTGAATATCTGGGGAGTTTTGCCACCTTCATCTCAAATCCTGGCTGTTGGTGTGAGGAAGATGTCAATTGTAACACAGCAACTTACTCTTTTTCTCGCCAGCTATTTTCCCTGAGTACCAATTGACCACTTTGGCATCAGCTTGTAGCTCCTTAAGGGACACAGACCAATACAATTATTGCATCCGTGGCTGGTTCAAACTTAGCCCAATGCTGGGGGAGTCAGCAGGGCTGAGGTTTTGGGTTGGTCCTTGCTGAAGATGTGGGATGTTCACCAACATCCACTGCAGATGTGGTTGTGGATCCAGGGAGTTTCAAGGCAATTGTTGAGTTTTGACCACACCAGTCCTAAAAGGTGGATATGACACTGAGTGCTCTTGTCTGCTTTTAAAAATACCAGGTAGGTGACAAATGAAGGCATGAGCTTAGCTCCTAATGATGGTCAATTCCCTGAAACAACCCAAACCTTTCACCATATCCGCTTAGGACAAGGTGTTCTTCCTCTTCTCAAGCACAAAGGAAGGAAATGTATCTTCAGGAAATGTTTATTTTACCCATGGATTGTCTGAAGCCAGGTTTGACAATACCCGGAAAAAAAAAGTCCCCATAAAATTAATATAAAAATAGGTGGGGTTATTGACAAAATGCATCATTTGTATGAGCTAGAGAGAAGAAAATGTGCTGCAATGCTCTGTGCCAGCAGCTAAAGTGCAGCCGGGCAGCTGCGGTGCAGCTGATGTGTGACCCAGGGACCCTCCCGACTGCAGGCCAGGTGAGCCAGGGGACACGTCCCTGTCCCTGTCCCTGTCCCTGTCCTCCCAGCCATTTGCACATTGTAACTCAGCCATTTGGAAAGAAAACCAGTGAGATACTTAATAATAAATATTGGAAGGAGTGATGCTTCTTAACACCTAACCCTGAGGAGTAATTTAACCCTCCAAGTCGAGAAGCCTCTTCCTTTCTTCAGACCCCAAAAGATGTGTTAGACACATTTCTTCTGAACACAGAGCCTCCACTCCTCCTCCTACTTTTACCACATTTCTTTATCCTAGCCATGGAGAGCTGTAGCAGAAATCTTGAAGGCAGCTGGTCTCTGCAAATGAAACCTGTGAGATTTAATGCCTTGACTTAGAATGAAGGAGTTAAAAAGCAAAAAAAAAAAAAAAAGAGAAAAATTATTTAATTTAATTTAATTCCCTACAACAGTGATCTGCCCAGTGTCCTCCTCCCAGCCTTCCACAGAGACATCCCCTCGGTGGCTGCCTCATGCCAGGCTGGCGTGTCCCTGCATCCGCCGCAGACCTGTGACCTCCTGCTCCTCCAGGCTGGCTCCAGCGAGCCACGCCGGGGCTGAGCTGCCTGAAATAGGCACGGAGAGAGCCTTCCACAGAAACCTCTAAATGGGTTTTAATGTCTCCCCGCCGTAGGATTCCCGGAATTAATTTGTGTCTGGCTTTTAAAATCAGGGATGTTGTGTTGAAGAAGAGGGATGCTCCTAAGAAGTATTGGAAAGAATGAAGGGCTGACAGGGGTGGTTTATGCAGCGAGCCTGGCCATGGATGCAGAGTAGTAAATGTGGTTGGTTGATTGAGATCAGATTTTTATTTATTTTTTCCAGTGGCGACGCCCATGTAGTTTATTTATTTATTTTCCCCTTTCACTTCAAGGCACGTAACAACACTGTATTTTATAAATCCCTGTGATTATAAATCTACTGGGATGTCATTCTTGGTTTCCTCAGAGGCCAGGAGTCTATACCCACAAGAGACAGATGGGAGAAGTAGCCAGCAAACCTTCTATATTATTGCAGAGAATTGCAGGAACTGGTTTTGGTTTACACCGCATGGGGAACACAGAATCTGCACAGAGCATCTCCATTTTCTGCTTCCTCTGTGAGCAGCCAAGGCAGGATTGCTGACACTCCCTCCACACAGTTCCTGGGCAGGGAATGATGCCCTGCAAAAGGTGAAAAGCCACGGATTTGCATCAACTCTTTATGTTGAGGATACAGCCTAAAAATTTTTAAAAGTGCTTCATGCAGCTGTGCAGAGCTCATGTGAAAGTCCAGGCTGCTTCAGCTACTTTCTCTACTTCCACTCTGTGCCTTGTCCCAGCAGAATTGCTCCAAGAACTGCAAGAAAAAAATCATCCCCTTGCTTTGTCTTGCAGGCAGCAGTGGCAGATGAGGCTGAGCTCCACAAGGTGTGGGTAGCAAAAAGAGATTGTTGCTGTAGAATGAGTCAGGTTGTGCTGCAATGTTAGGAAGTGGGTTTTTTTCCACAGTTTAGAAGATGATTTTTAAAAGTAGGGGATTTAGTTTACATTTTTTTCATGAGCTACAAGGTCAGTTGTGGAGTGAGAGCTGGATTTAGCTTTAGAGTCATCTCTCAGCTTTGAAGGAAGGAAAAACAACAACAGGCATGTTTGATTTTGGTGCTTTGCTTCATTTTCTTGCTGCCTTGGCCATGGGGCTGCCTGTGGTGTTGTGGGGGCAGCCCCACAAGGTCTCTGGTCCTTCCCTCCTCTTCCTATCATTCACCTCCTCCCCAGCCCTACCAGAGTCAAATATAAACTTTCTTAAAATGAACACAAGATTCATTCCACTTGACCAGGCCTGACTTCCCAGAAAATAAACAGGGAGAGCAGAGCCAGCCAGCCCCCTCTCCTGGAGCTGCCAGCCACCAGAGAGCTGGTGGGTGACCCAGAGCTCTTCTAGGCTTTTTGTAGTGGAGAAAAGGGTGGAAAGGAGAGAGACCCCACCTAAAGTAATTCCATGGTCTGCTGTAAAATAGCAATACTGCTAAGTGTCTTAATTTTCACAGTTCTGATTTTTTTTATTGTTTCAATTTCAGCTGGATAGCTGGACACAACTGTTTCCCTGCTCTGGAAACAGACCCAAAGGAATCAGGTCAGTAGGATCTATTAGTGCTATTGATAGAAAAGGATTCTTCAAAACCCAGCACTTAATCCTTTATGACCACTTTTACTGTTATCTTTTGTTTTCAAGGGGCAATGGTTTAAAATTAGGAGAGATTTTGATCAAATGTTAGGAAGCAGCTCTCCCATGTGAGGGTGGGGAGGCCCTGGCACAGGTTGCCCAGAGAAGCTGTGGATGCCCATTCCCTGGGTGTGTCCAAGACCAGTCTGGATGGGGCTTGGAGCAACCTGATCTACAGGGTGACATCTCTGGGGGGGAACAAGACAATCTTTAAGGTCCCTTCCAACACAAACAATTCTGTGATTATTTCTATTTAAAAAAACAAACAAACAAACAAAAAAACAACCCAGAACAAAACCCCATCATCACAGAGGCTGTGTATATTCATTAAAAGAATGATTAAAAAATAAAGAAAAGAACATACTGAGCAGTTTTCTAGCCCAGTTTTGCCTTTGAGTGGATTGACTTAGTTTCTGCTATGCAGGGGTCACTCAGTACTGTGCTGGTTGGGGTGTGCCAGTGCTGTGCCCTCTGCCCATGACAATGGACAGGTGAGTGGACACTGGAAATGCTTCAGTTCCTGCTCTCCAGGGCAGCTCTCCAGGCTCTGGACTTCCCCTGGCCTCTGTGCCAGCTCTCAGCTGCTGGGACACTGTCTCCTTCAGTGCCTGGCAGTGTACTCGAGGCAGTGAAACTCTGTGGTGCAGCTGCACTAAAACCACAGGACCAGCCGTGACCTTTTGCACTTGAAGTCCACGATTTTTTCTTAGACTCCCAAGCCCGCAGGTGTTATCCCTGCAATTCCCAGGGAGCAGCTGCTGCAGGTGATTCTCTCTGAAATAGCATGGGAAAGAAAGAAGTGTAGACAAAATAATAAATACACCTGTATAGGCCTCCCTTTCCTTGCAGACAGGGGATGCTTTGGGACCTAGGTCAGAGTTATCTGATATGTCCCGGATCCCCTCTCCCAGCACTCATCACCTTCTCTAAGTGATGATGTTTATCTGCCTTTCTTTTCCCAGGACAGGTATCTCTGATCTCATCTGGTCTCACTGTTAAACACTCTTTCTTGCAATGAAAGCATGAGCTTCTGATCCTCTCTAATCCCAAAACATCCTGTGTGATTGAATGTCTTGACTTTCTTCATCCTACAAGCAATACTTGAAGTTACTAAAAAAAAACAAACAACAAAACAAACAACCCCAAAACAAAACCAAAACAAATAAAAAAAAACAACCAAGAAAAAAAGAAAACTAAGTAAGATAATCTTTACACTGCAGCAAACCTGCTATTTATGGAGAAAAAAAAAGTCTTGAACTCAGCCAGCTGCAGCATTCCCTCCTGAGAGCTTAGTGCAGAAAGCAGCAGTAGCCACGGTGTAAACTCAGACACCTTCCTCTGTGGGTCTTCTGCTTTGCTGATATTTGCAGGCAGCCTTAAAGAGGACAAATATAGTTAATGAGGATTGGACGGTATTTCTGCAAATTACTTATGTGCTGCTAAGGATGACATTCAAAGTTTAAAAATAAAAATCAAGGGGAAAGGTTTATTTTCATGTTAGGTTTCAATTTGCTGCATTTTTTGTGTCTTCACTATCTGCTGTTTTCTTCTATAAGCATTATCTATTCAAGACAGAACAGATTAAAGCTAATTGTTAGGCCCCTCTGTTTTTCCTTCTTCCTGTTTTATCTCCTAAGCAACTTTATTTGGTACAAGACAAATAATCTGAATTCCTGAAGTCAGAAACAAGGAGTGGGAGTCCGGGAAACTGGCTGCTGATCTAATGCAGTTTTTTGCAAGTGTGGTTATGGTCAGAAACTCTAAATATGGCACTGTGTTACTGTACACACAGTGACTGCACCCTGTGTGTCAGGGGCTGAGTCACAGCACTGTAGTTTACTGACAAAAACATGTTTTACTACTCTTGGTACTGAGGAGTCAGTAGAGCCGGGAGTGAAAGTGTTGAGCTCGTTGCATGGTCACTGGCTGAATCACAGAATCATGGAAAGCTTTGGGTTGGAAGGGATCTTAAAAACCAGCTCTTGCCACCCTCTCTTGACACCTTCCATGGGGCCAGGTTGCTTACCATGGGTTTGGTGCCTGCCCAGCCTTTGCTGGTGGTGAGAGGGGTGGAAGTAGCAGAGGGGACATGATTTGGCAGGTGGATGTTGAGGTGTTGGTTTGCTTGTCTGGATGAAGGGGCCATGGAGGAGGGATCACTGCCACGGTGGGGCTGCACAATCAGGAGAGCTGCGATGCCCATGGCCATGATTTTCCTGCTGGGAAAGTTCTGGAAAAGTTGTCTTTCCAGCACGCTGAAGAACAGAAGTGTCTTTCCAAGCCTTCATGGAACAGAATTGTCAGCTTATGGCTCCCTCTCCCCCTACTGCAGGAGAGAATCCCTACACCAGCAACAGTTTGATTTTTTCAACTTTTGAAGTAAACTGGCTTAATCTGAATGTTAATGGCAGAATTTACATTAATATAATATTTTTTTCTTTTAAAAAAGCCCCCATTTTTAATCTTTTCAATAAGTCTCCAACAAGGAGCTCAGCTGGCATTCCCATACTGTCCACATTCATCCTAACCTTTAGTATTGACTGACTCATGCAGGAGGCATCTGCAAGAGTTATTAATGGAAAGTATTAAAGAAATTCAGTTTAATATTTGGTAAATAGGAAGTGTCTTTCTGCTTGAATTCATGTTTCAAATGTCTGTGTTTGTGTTATTTATATTAATATATTTCATGGGCTGCTTAATAATAGTAGCAATTAAGATAATAACAATAAATGCTAATAAATACTGAGCTCTTCTGCTTTTCCTCTAAGGAGGTCAAGACTCAAGGGTGTACCTCTGGGGCTGGTGTAATGTAGATCTGATCTCCTCCTGCTATTTCTTCTTGTGGAAAGTTAGGAATATCATGTGAAGATCAGATCACCTCTATTTTGGCATCTGGAATGTCTCTCAGGCATTATAAATGCCAGTAAGAAACATAAAATTGGAAAGAAAACAAGCACCAGGACATTGAAAAATATAACCACTAATACTGACCTATTTGGGATTTTTTTTTCTGATTTAGCAGAATGCTATTAATAGTGTAATTAAAGCTATTTTGTGGCCTGGGGACTTGAGCACCTGGCTCTTATTAGAGCTGGATCCATATTGTATGGTGAAAAAAGCCAAGAGGACAAGAGGAGATGGCCCAAAGGAGAACACAAGAGGGCACAGTGGCACCTGTGGTGCACTTTTTGTTCTCTGGCTTTTTGAATTGTTGAGGGCAGGGTGAACTCAGAGCTCTGTTTACATGACATAAATAATTATGGTAACAGGGTTCATTAGTGGGAACAGTAAAAATTTAATTTTGTCAACTTGCAGTGGATTATTTACTAGAATACTTTTTTTTTTGGTGGCTTAAAGATGGATGTGATGACTGTGTCATATAAGGTCAATATGGCAATAAGCCCCACTGCAAGTTTGACAGAATTAATGTGGGCAGCCAGTAAGAATGTACTGATTGTATTAAATAAGGTACAAAATGCACATTCCAGGCAGGTGTTTCTTCACTTTCCTCATCAATTCCACTGTTCTTGTATTGTATTGTGCTGATGGAAACGAATTCTGTGATTTCAGAAACAAAGGATGCTGATGCTGCTTTTCATCCTTCTGCCCAAGGAGAATAAATGTTTGTGCAAACCTTTTTTCATGTGGCTGCCCAGAAATGACCCAAGCGAAGCCAAGAAGCTGAACATTAAGCAACCTCCCTTTGGTGATGCTGCTGAAATGAGAGGTCAGTGGTGAAAACTTTCCTCTGGAAAATTAATGGTGTAAATAGATATTTGTAAGGAAGGGACACAGAAATAAGCAGCACCCTATCTCAAATGTTAGGTTGAAGCTCAGAGGTCACAGCTGTCCTTAGATGTCTCAGTGGGGCAAGCAACCTCCCTGTGCCATAGTCACCTGCCTGGCTGGGCTTTTATAGAGGGAGAGCTGGGGGAATAAGCCCGGGAAAGGATTGCAAGCAGCCTTTTTTGGGTTTTTTCAGTCCCCATTTCTGACACTGACAGGAGGTTACAGCCTGGGCCTTTACGATGGGAATTGTGGTTGAAACCTCTGAAGGCTGTAATCCATGACATGACATTATTTCACAGTTACAAATGAACATCCACCCCTTAATTTTTTTTTCCAAAGAAGCCCTTGTCCTCAGGTCTCCCATATGTATTATTTGTAAACAGAACTTCTCCTCCCATCCAAAGCAGCCTCTGGGGGTTTCTCTCCCTCCCAGAAGCCGATCAGCCGGCGCTGTGCGCGGAGCCGCGGATGGAAGGTGCGATACTACAGCGCACGCAACCAACTACAGAAACAAGATCATTAACATCTTAATATCCTGCCCTGACATCTCACAAATTATTTTAGACTTCATAGCCAATGTAAACAGGTTTGTTTTCAACTCCCCTAATTGCCTGCTAATTGAGAGCAGATGCAGGCCTTAACTTTCGGCAGATAAAGAGCAGCCTCTTCTCTGGGGCTTCACATCTATCATGAGGTCTCTGATGTGTGCTCTGAGCTTCCCTGGTTAGTGATGCCGAGGCAGAGGGGGATTGCAACGGCTCCTTCTGCCTGAACCTCAGCGAGACAGAAGGGAAGACAGAGCTGTGGGACTCGTCAGTAACATCATCATCATTATTGTTTCATTTCGTACTCCAGTGCACTTTCTGCAACAGTGCAGGTCTCCTTCTGGGGGGGAATTCTCCGAATTATAGATGGGCTTCTCGTTATGATAGAAATCACTGGGTTTATGAAAAATGCATTGCTGTCATATTCCATTATCTGCTTCCTCCCATGCTGCAATCCTGTAGCTTGCAAGTCATTAGATTCTTTTTCAGAGTTCCTTTGAAATAATCCTTTCAAAAAACACTATTCATTGGGTATGACCCCAGAGAGATACTGTCTGGTACTAAAGCTCTCTTTTA